TGCTTGTTCAACTTGGGCAGAAACCTATATCATACCAGCTTGAAGTTGGCTCACTGCCATGTCTGCAGGACAATTCAAGAGAATGGGGAAAGAAATCCAGAGCAATTATCTTGTTGAAATTTTGCAGCCTGGAATTTGCACACAGTACTTGCAGTCATGGAGTCCTGGTGTGGCGCTGTGGGTTAATGCTCCAGACTGCAAATCCAATTAAACTGCAAGGTCCGCAGTTCAAGCTCACCAGCTACTTCTCAGAAACCCTATACAGGGTCACTGTGGGTCAGAACCGACTTGATGGCACTTCACAACAACAACAACAACAACAACAACTTGCAGTCTCAGCCTATGGGTCACAACTAGGGCACATGGCTCCTTTGGTTGCAATGGAAGCTAAAAAAAACCGTGATCTTAGTGTAGCCTGGTGCTCCACTAATAGCAAGCAAGGTGATGTGGGAGTCCTCCGACTAAATGGAAAAGGGAAAGTGAATAGTTGGAACAGTTAGCAGTTTCCACTATATCTACTTAATGTCATTTTTTCAGAGAATGATTTTGATCATATTGTACGGAATATACAATAGAGACAGCTATACCTGCTTCATAGTATTATTGCAAGTATTAAAATACATAGGACGTATTTTAACCCGTAGCATTGTTCCTGGTACATAGTAGGTATCTAACACATATCTGTTACTTTTATTATTTGTTAAGTTCCATCAAGGCAGTTCTGACTCATAGCAACCCTGTATAGCATTGTCAAGGAGCGGCTGTTGGATTTGAAACTCTGACTTTGTGGTTTGCAGTCCAGTACTTAACCTACAGAGCCACACGAGGAATCTAAACTTTCAATAAAATACATTTTTTAAATTAACAGCACCAATTATTAGGTGAAAATATGTTGGTATTGTTATTAGTGGCTGTCAAATCGATTCCAACTAATGGCAACCCTGTTTGACAGAGTAGAACTGTTCCTTGGCTGTATTCTTAACAAAAACATATGGCCAGGCCTTTTCTTCTATGATGTAGCTGGGTGGGTTCAACCTGTCAACCTTTAGTTTAGCAGTCAAGCACAACCATTTGTGGCACCTAGGTATTAACAAACCTAAAACAAGACATGTGGGTGAGTTGAGCCCAGGTACACACTGATGAGTGGCTTCAAATATCTATTAGATACTTGCAGATTTTAGGTTTTGATGACAGTTATTAAATGTATAATAAATGTAGATTATTTTTAAATAGTAACCAAGTACTGAAACTGCAAATTAACCAAAACACATGTAAAATCTGTCCATATTTTGAATCTGATTTGTAATTGCTAAAGTTCTTTCTGTATATCTGTATATATAATATATACTGAACTATGATGACTTACCAATCAACATTTTACACTTTACAAATTAGTTATAGACTAGTAATGGACAGAAGTTTCTGTAGTGGAGGCTGACTGTATTTGCTAAAATTAGATAAAATGTCAAATTCTAAATAACCCTATATTTCCGATAACAAATGACTAATAAATGCCACATGATTTGAGCCATGAACAGTCCATCAGTTGTGCTTGGTTTATAATCAGCAAAATTTTCAATGTATTGTTTTTGATAAGTAAACGTGTTTAGATGAGATTATTATTAGTTATAGTAATACAATAAAAAAACTCAGATTTCTATGTTTATCATTTAGTTTGTAACTAAAATGGCCACCTTATAAGATATTTATTATTGTGGTGGTTTTAGTCGTTAGCCTTTTAGTTGTTAGTGCTGTCAAATTGGTTCTGACTCATATCCCTGTATAGGGTTTCCGAGGAGAAGCTGCTGACTTTGAACTTCTGACCTTCTGGTTGACTGTCCATTGCTTATCCCATAGCATCACACCAGAACTGCAAGTAACTTGACCATGATCAATACAAGTAGAAAGTGATTGCATTTCCTATTGCTGCTTTAACATATTCCTAAAGCTCAGTGTTTTAAAACAATACAAATTTACTGTCTTATGCAGGTCAGAATTGAGTCTTGCTAGGCTAAAATCAAGGGTTGTGTTCTTTCTAGAGGCTGTACGAGAGATTCTGTTTCCTTCCATTTCCAGCTACTATATGATTGTATTCTTTCACCATACTTGTTCAACCTGTATGCTGATCAAATAATCCAAGAAGCTGGCTTATATGAAGAAAAAGGTGGAAAAAGGATTGGAGGAAGACTCATTAACAACCTGTGATATGCAGATGATACAACCTTGCTTGCTGAAAGTGAAGAGAACTTAAAATATTTAATGATGAAGATCAAAGACCACAGCCTTCGGTATGAATTGCATCTCAATGTAAGGAAAACAAAAATCTTCACCACTGGACCAATAAACAACATTCTTATCAATGGAGAAATGATTGAAATTGTCAAGAACTTCACTCTTCTTGGATCAACTATCAATACTCATGGAAGCAGCAGTCAAGAAATCAAAGGACATATTGCATTAGGCAAATCTGCTACACAAGACCTTTAAAGTGTTGAAGAACACAAACTTTTTAAAGTGTTGAAGAGCTTGAGGACTAAGGTGCACCTGACCCAAGCCATGGTATTTTCAGTAACCTCATATGCATGCGAAAACTTTACAGTGAATAAGGAAGACCGTAGAAGAGTTGATGCTTCTGAGTTATGGTGTTGGAGGAGAATATTGAAAGTGCCATAGGCTGCCAAAAGAACCAACAGATCTGTGTTGGAAGAAGTGCAGCCAGAGTGCTCCTTGGAGGCCAGGATGGCCAAACTTCATCTCTCATACTTCAGACACGGTGTCAGGAGGGACCAGTCGCTGGAGAATAATATCATGTTTGGTAAGGTGGGGGGTCAGAGAAAAAGAGGAAGACCCCCAGCAAGATGGACTGGCAAAGTGGCAGCATCAGTGGGCTCAAGTGTGGCAACAATTGTGAGGTTTGCCCAGGACTGGGCAGTGTTTCGTTCTGTTGTAGATAGGGTCGCTATGACTCGGCAGTGACTCGATGGCACCTAACAATAACAACAACAGTAGGATGTCCACATTCTGTGACTTGTGATCTCTTATCCATCTTTAAACCAGCAACTTCATGTCAAGTCCTTCTGATGCTCTTTTTGGGTCTCTCTTCTGATTCCCTCTTCCACTCATAAAGTACCTTTTCATTGTGTTGGGCCTACCCAGATAATCTAGCATAATCTCCCTAGTTGAAGGTCATCTGACTAACACTTTAGCTCCATCCGTCATATATTTTTTTTTTTAGTGTTTTATTGTGAATTATGTGAATAATTTACATGGGAGAACGTTAGCTTTACATTCATCCTATTGTACATCATTTCATTGCCATGATTACAATCCCCTCCATGCATCATCAACCAACCAAAGGGTATACTCTGCAAGCCTTCTCCCTGGTGGTCAGCATACAGCCTCTCTCTGTCTCTGGGTCTAGAGTCCCCAGCCACTCCATCTCTCCATGTCATTGTGTCTACCTCCATCACTGGTGTCACTGTTTCTCTGGGTAGGATCCCGCACTTTGTTCTTCTCACTTGATGGTCCCAGGGACATCTGCTCCTGGACTCCAAAGTCAATCACTCCCCTCCTTTTGCTACAAAATGTCTACCCTCACAGTCAGTTTTGATAACAATTATTCACTATTGTATCACAAGAGACCTATCCTCATTTCCTTTCATCAGCCCCGCCTAGACAGATTAGATACTACTCAGTGGAGATTAGATCTGTCCTTTAGGAACTTAAACTCCCAAACCTGGTAACATATTTTTCAGAATAGTTTTGCTCTTATTGAACATTGTCTCAAACGAGGGGTCAGATAACTTTCATACTTTAACTTTTTCTTTACAAAGGAGAGAAAGTGACCTTGTTTGTACATCACAGATGCTCAGTATATTTTGAAATTTTTAATTGGCAGGAAAAGAGGACTAATACCTAGAATTCAAATATAAGAATACTAAATATAGTCCCTGTGATTTCTAGAAACTTACATACTAATTTTGTCTTTAAAAGTATATGCTGTTCAAAGAGGGAAGGAGTGTTCACATTAAGTATCAATGCTATCACCTCAGTATACAGGGTAGCTAAGGACAGGCACCTTAGCTACATAAAATGAGGGGTGATAAAGGTACAAAGTGACTGTTTTACAAGTTTTCTAGAGGGAATTTAGGATTAGAGTGTGCAGGGTGGGGTAGAATCCCCAATGAATAGTGTTCATCTTGTCTAAATGGGTCTGGTGAAATGAGATGGGCATAAGATTCTTATGATTCAATAGTGAGTATATTTTTGTCAGGACTAATTGCAGTTGTCACTGCTGTAAAGTTGAAAGTTTTGTAACAAAAAGTGGGGAGTAGTAAATCTTGCATTCCAGGGAGAAGAACATGAGTGGAATATGGGACCCTATCGAGAAGCAGCAACACCAGAGATGAGGACATGGAGAGAGAAAGCAGCTGAGGACTCTAGATTCATGCAGAGAGAAAGACTGTGTGCTGGCAGTGAGGAAGCAGGCTTGCACAATGTGCCCTTTGTTTAAATGTTAAATGTCCTGAGTGTTTTTGTGTACATCCAAAAAAGAAAAGCAAATACTGTTGAATGATGATGCATGGAGGGCATTGTAATTATTGCAATGAAACATAATACTATAGGATGATGTAAAACCCATGTTCTGCTGTGTAAAGTATCACTCAATTCACAATAAAAACTTTTTTTTTTAAAGTTTATGCTGGTTACTTTTTTTAACTTGGTTAATTAATCTTAATTATCCGACTCAATTTGGGCATCAATTGAGACTGGAATCAGTGCTTTGTATGAGTTTCAACAAATTTGATAATTGTGAAATAATAATTTCAAAGCTTTTTTTTTTTCAAACTGGTAACATGGATTGCATCCAAGGAATGGCACTGGCTGTCTGGAATACATGGGTGCAGAGGTGAATTTTCGCTCTGTATCCTTTTGTACTTTAACACATTAGAATATATAATCTCTAAATGAATAAGTAAACTGTTAAATTTAAAAGTAGGATGAATAAACAACTTCCATTTTCTACTACCCCCACTCTGCTAGGATCATCCCTACTGTGTCATTCTCTGAGGACAACAAGTTTTTCACGAGGAAAGTCTGAACACACCAAACAATCCCTGAAGAAGCCAAAGTTACCTGAAGGTCGTTTTGATGCACCTGAGGATTCTCATTTAGAGAAAGAACCCTTAGAAAGTGAGTATAGTAAAGTTTCTCTTTATATATGAAAATCTCAATTTTAATTATTAAGAAAAATAATGAAAGAAAATAAAAGTTACTGCTTATTAGTCCGTATCAACAATAAGAAACCGTATAACACTGATTAAAATTGCTATTGTTGTTAGGTGCAGTCAGCTTGGCTTAGACTCATAGTGAGCCTATGCACAACAGAATGAAACACTGCCCAGTCCTGCACCATCTTCACAGTTAGTCGTTGTTACACCTGACGCCACTGCTGCTGCCACTGTGCCAATCCATCTTGTGTGTGTATGGGGGGTCTTCCTCATTTTCACTGACACTCCATTTTACTAAGCATGATGTCCATCTCCAGGGATTTATCCCTCTGGATAATATGTGCGAAGTATGAGAGACGAAGTCTCACTCTCCTGGCTTCTAAGGAGCATTCTAACCATAGTTCTTCAACACAGATACGTTTGTTCCTCTGGCATTCCATGGTACTTTCAATGGTCTTTAACACCGTAACTCAAACGCATTAATTCTTCCACAGTCTTCTTATTCATTCCCCAAACTTTCATGTGCATATGAGGCTACTGAAAATACCATGGCTTGGGTCAGACACACCTTAGTCCTCTATTTGATATCTTGGCTCTTGCTCTTGTGCAGCAAATTTGCCTAGTGTAACATATTGTTTGATTTCTTGACTGGTGCTTCCATGAGTGAATTCAAACAAAATGAAGTCTTTGACAACTTCATCTTTTCTCGATTTATTCATGATGTTACTTATTGGTCCAGTGGTGAAGATTTTTGTTTTCTTCACATAGAGGTACAACACATAATGAAGACTGAGGTCTTTGATCTTCATCAATATTTTAAGTCCTCATGGTTTTTAGCAACCAAGGTTGTATCATTTGCATGTCACGTGTTGTTAATGAGTCTATCTTCAATCATGATGCCACGTTGTCATATAATCTAGCATCTCAGATTACATGTTCTGTGTACAAATTGAATGTTGTTGTTGTTGTTAGGTGCCATCGAGTTCGTACTGACTCATAGCGACCTTATGTACAGCAGAACGAAACACTGCCCAATCCTGGGCCAATCTCACTATCGTTGCCACACTTGAGCCCACTAATGCTACCGCTTTGCCAATCCATTTCGCTGGGGGTCTTCCTCTTTTTCTCTGACCTTCCACCCTACCAAACGTGATATCCTTCTCCAGTGACTGATTCCTCCTGACAGTGTCTCTGAAGTATGAGAGACGAAGTTTGGCCATCCTGGCCTCCAAGGAGCTCTCTGGCTGCACTTCTTCCAATATAGATCTTTTGGTTCTATGGGCACCCCGTGGCACTTTCAATATTCTCCTCCAACACCATAACTCAAAAGCATCAATTCTTCTCTGGTCTTCTTTATTCACTATCCAGCTTTTGCATGCATATGAGGTTATTGAAAATACTATGGCTTGGGTCAGGTGCACCTTAGTCCTCAAGCTGACATCTTTGCTCTTCAACACTTTAAAAATGTCTTGTGTAGCAGATTTGCCTAATGCAATACGTCATTTGATTTCTTGACTGCTGCTTCTGTGAGTGTTGATAGTTGATCCAAGAAGAATGAAGTCCTTGACAACTTCAATCTTTTCTCTGTTGATAAGAATGTTGTTTATTGGTCCAGTGGTGAGGATTTTTGTTTTCTTGACATTGAGATGTAATCCATACCAAAGGCTATGGTTTTTGATCGTCATCAGTAAATACTTTAATACTTCTTCACTTTCAGACAGCAGGTTGTGTCATCTGCATATCACCAGTTGTTAATGAGTCTTCCTCCAATCCTGATGATGCCATGTTTTTCTTCATATAATCCAGATTCTTGGTTGATTTGCTCAGCATACAGGTTGAATAAGTATGGTGAAAGAATACAACCTTGTCGCACACCTTTCTTAATTTTAAACCATTCAGTGTGCCCATGTTCTGTTCGAACAACTGCCTCTTGGTTCAGATTCCTCATGAGCACAATTCAGTGTTCAGGAATACTCATACTTCACAATGTTGTCCATAGCTTGTCATGATCCACACAATCAAAAGCCTTTGTGTAGTCAGTAAAGCACAGGTAAACATCTTTCTGATATTCTCTGCTTTCAGCCAAGATCCATCGGACATCAGCAATGATATCCCTCATTCCATGGCCTCTTCTGAATTCGGCTTGAACCTCTGGAAGTTCTCTGTCAATGTATGCTTGCAGCTGTTTCTGTATTACCTTTAGTAAAACTTTACTCACATGGGATATCAAAGATATTGTCCGATGATTTCCGCATTCCGTTGGGTCAACTCTCTTTGGAATGGGCATAAATACGGACCTATTCCAATCATTCGGCCAGATAGTTGTCTTCCAAATTTCTTGGCAGAGATGAGTGAGTGCCACCTGTGCTGCCTCACTTTCTTAAAAGATTTCATTTTATATTCCATTAATACCTGGCGCCTTGTTCTTTGCCAGTTCCTTCAGTGCACCTTGGTCTTCTTCCTTCAGTATCACTGGCTCTTGATCATATGCTACCTCTTGAAATGGTTGAACATCAACCATTTCCTGTTGGTACAGTGACTGTGTATTCCTTCCATCTTCTTTTGATGCTTTCTGCATCATTCAATAATTTCCTATTGAATAAGAATGGTAAAAGAATACAACCCTGGCATACACCATTCTTAATTTTAAGCCATTCAGTGTCCCCTTGTTCTGTTTGAACAACTGCCTCTTGGCCTACGTACAGGTTCCTCATGAGTACAATTAAGTTGTCTGGAATGTCCATTCTTTGCAGTGTTTTCCAGTTTGTCATGATCTACACAGTCAAAAACATTTGCTTAGTCAGTTGAGCATAGGTAAACATCCTTCTAGTATTCTCTGCTTTCAGCCAAGATCCATCTTAAGTCAGCAATGATATCACGCATTCCACATCCTTGTCTGACTCTGGCTTGAACCTTTGGCAGTTCCCTGGCAATGTACTGGTGCAGCCATTCTTGAACTATCTTTAGCAAAATTTTATTTGCATGTGGTATTAGTGATATTGTCAAATCATTTCTGCATTCTTTTTGGAATGGGCACAGATACGGATCTCTTCCAATCAGTTGGCCAGGTAACTGTCTTCCAAATTTCTTGGCATAGATAAGTAAGTACCTCTAGTGCTGCATCAGTTTGTTGAAAGATTTCATTTTGTATCCCGTCAATTCCCAGAACCTTGTTCTTTGTCAATGCCTTCAGTGTACCTTGGACTTCTTCCTTCTTGGTCAGGTTACCTATTGAAATGGTTGAACATTGACCATTTCTTTTTGGTGCAGTGACTGTGTATATTACTTCCATCTTCTTTTGATGCTTTCTGCATCATTCAATATTTTGCCCAGAGAATCGTTCAGTATTTCAAGTTCAGGCTTGAATTTTTCTTCAGTTCTTTGAGCTTGAGAAATGCTAAGCATGTTCTTCCCTTTTGGTGTTCTAGACCCAGGTCTTTAGTACATTATTACTTTATAAAGTTAGTACATGACTTTGTTTTCTCGAGATGCCCTTTGAAATGCTCTGTTCAAGTCTTTTACCTCCTTGTGTCTTCCATTTGCTTTAGCATCTCTATGGTGGAGAGCAAGTGTCAGAGTATTTTCTGACAAAATGTTTTTTTTTTCTTTCTGTATGATATTTTTAATGACCTTTTGCTTTCTTCCTATATGATGTTCTTGATGTCGTTCTACAACTCTTTTGGTCTCTGATCATTAGTGTCCAATGCATCAAACCTGTTATTGAGATGATCTCCAAATTCAGGTGGAATATGTTCAAGGTCATATTTCAGTGCTCATGACTTTTTTTTTTTTTTTTGCTTTGATTCCCTCTGTTCTTTATTTTTATGTACACAAAACCACCCAGGAATATATAATCATTTAAACAACCAAAGGGCATGTTCTGCAAGCGCAAGCTAGCCTCCTGGCCACCAGAACATTGTCTTTATCCTTCCATGAGTCTAGAGTCCTCGGCTGCTCTATCTCTCCATGCCGTCACCTCTGCCTTCATTTCTGGTGTCACTGCTTCTCTGGTTAGGGCCACACATTCCACTCATGCTCTTCTCTCTTGATGGTCCTAGGGTCCTCTGTTCCTGGAATGTAAGATTAACTACTTCCCCCTTTATGTTACAAAACTTCTACCTCTACAGTTGTGACAATCACAATCAGTCATAATTACTCACTATTGAATCAAATGAATCCTATCCCTTTCACCAGACCCATCTAGACAAGATGAAAACTATTCAGTGGCAATTCCACCTTCCCTGGCACACTCTAAAAAACTAAACTCCCTCTT